CGCTTAACTCCTATTTAGACAGATCAACAAGAGTGGATTCTTCTCAAACTCGCTCCCGCAAACGACTGGTCACTTTATGTCAGAGCTTAATCTTTGCGATATTTGGAGACATAGGAATCCTACCACTCAAGAATTTTCTTGTATCTCAAAAACTTACTTGACTCAATCCCGTATAGATTATTTTTTAATCTCCAAAATGCTGAAAGACTTAGTCTGTGACTCTGGACTTAGCACAAGGTGGCTATGCGATCAGAATGCTGATGAAGGTTCTCAGTCATCCAGGTCATAGTCATTCCGTAAAAATTAAAAAAATATCCACTGGACTTGGTTTCCAAGATTTGAAGACGTTTCGCCACCTCTCCAGGAAGCTTTCTCAATTCAAATGTCTGGATCCGCAGTGAGTTTGAGTCTTATATGGACAAGGCCTTGTATTGCTTGGAAACATGCAAATGGTAACCGATGAATGGGTCGTTTAGTTTAGTTTAGTTTATGCGATCAGAATTTTTTACAATATCTAGAAGATAATATTGATTTATTCTTCACTACAAACACTGACGAAACATCAGCCTCTGTTAGGTGAGAAGCATTTAAAACCTATATAAGAGGTCAGATGATATCCTACACGAGCCACATGTCTACTTGGATGCATCTTCTTATGACAGAACTAGAACGCGACATTAAAGACATGGAAAAGAAATCCACCATTAATAATACCCCAGAGAATATACAGAGGCTTACGGAACTAAGAGCTAACTATAACGACCTAACAGCTAACAAAGCAATATCAAAGATAACCAGACTGAAGCAGAACTATTATGAACAGGGAGAATCATCAGGTAAACTTTTAGCCTGGCGCCTTAAAACTTTGAGCCAGGAAAAGGCTATTACAAAAATTAAAATTGAAAGAGGGATTACAACAAGTCCCTCAGAAATCAACGATGTGTTTAGAAAATATTATATGAAACTCTATGCTTCAGAAGCTCAATATCCCAATGACCATGACAAGTTCTTAGACGCCCTACCCATTCCACTCTTGGAAGATATGGCAAAGCAAAAACTAGACTCGCCCATAACGAAAGAGGAAATATTTGAAACTCTTGTTTATATGAGCAGTGGTAAATCACCAGGTCCTGACGGACTTCCTTTAGATTTTTTTACACTTTAAGAAATGGTTGATTCCACCTCTGTTCGATATGATAGTTGAATCAATCGAGGCGGGACAATTACCACCCTCCCTATGTAATACGACAATATCACTGATATTAAAGCCAAATAAGTCCCCCACCAATTGTGCATCATACCGTCCAATATCATTAATAAACTCAGATGTTAAAATAATTGCAAAGATGTTTGCAAGACGCTTGGAAAAACAACTTCCCTCCTTAATAGTCCCTGATCAAAATGGCTTCATTAAAGACCGGCAGGCTTTTCATAACATCCATAGAGTACTAAACATCATGTATGCAAAGCAGGGATGCACAAACACGGCAATAATCTCACTTGACGCAAAAAAACGCTTTTGACATGGTCGAGCACCCATATTTGTTCAACATTTTGAGGCGGTTTGGGTTTGGCGATTATTTTTGCAACTTTGTGAAAATGCTATACCAATCCCCAAGTTCAGCAATCACAACTAATTTTGCCACATCGGAGCCCTTTCAACTCCAGCGAGGAACTAGGCAGGGGTGCCCCATCTCGCCCCTTTTGTTTGCATTAGCGATCGAACCACTGGCCATCGCAGTCAGACAATCCACTAATATAACAGGCATCAGACTAGGCGCTACTGAGAACAAAATAGGTCTTTTTGCTGACGATATAGTTTTGTTCTTGACACAATTAAGTGATTCAATCCCCAACCTGATGAAGTTAATAGACACATTTGGTTCGTTTTCAGGATATACAGTTAATGAATCAAAGTCGAACATCTTGTTTCTTAACTATTTAGGAAGAATCTCCCCACCAATACAAACTCCTTTAACCAACGTGAAGAACTTTGCATACTTGAGGATCAAAATTACACCCGCACCAAAGGATTTAGTAACTTGCAATTATGAGCCAGTAACAGAATCAGCAACCAAGATGATAAAAAGATGGTCAACAATGCCAATTTCTATGGTTGGTCGAATCAATAGTTTGAAGATGACAATACTACCTAAATTTTTATACCTCTTTCAATGCATACCACTTCCACCACCTCCAATCTTTTTCACCAATATGAACAAACTCTTCAGAGACTTCATATGGAATAACCACAGAGCAAGACTTCGTCTTACGCTTCTTTACCTGCCCTTTGATAGAGGGGGACTGAAACTTCCTAATCTAAAATTATATTACTGGTCATGTCAACTATGGACAGCCTCTTTCTGGTTTAAATCTCATTTAGCCTTTCTTGGGTTGATATAGAGAGATCTACATCTACCAATTTACCTCTTCAACTGTACCTATTCTCTGCAATACCAGGGAAACTTAATAAATTCACAGACAACCCATTTGTAGGAAATATAATATTTGTATGGCATGAGGTTCATAAATACTTGAATGATATCTCCAAGCTGTCTCAGTTCACCCCCATTTGGGGAAATGAAAACTTTCCACCTGCAAGAGGACAAGGGGTTTAAATAGTGGGCGGATAAAGGTACACAAACATGCAATGCCGGTCTCAAACTTTTGCAATATAAATGGGTCATGAGGTTATATATAACACCTGAGATTCTACACAAGTTTAATGCTAACACTCCTGATGTATGTGTCAAGTATCAAACATGTAAAGGTACACTTATCCATTGTTTATGGTTATGCACAAAGATACAGCCTTCTGGAGAGAGGTTATTCAAGTTCTTTCTGTTATAACTGAGACAGACCTTCCTCTCTGCCCTAAACTGTGCATACTAGGACTATACCCTAAGGATATTAAGCTCAACTCCACCAACAGGAAGATGATCACCCTCTGTTTACTACAGGCCAGACGGACAATTTCACTATGATGGAAATCCATACTGAATCCGAGTGTGAAAGGTTGGCTTGAGAATATTGTACAAATCTTGCCAATGGAAAAAATCACTTATTCACTAAAAGGAAAACATGATATTTTTGAAGATATATGGTCGTCCTTTTTGGAGTCTGTTGGAGGCCCACAGTTTCTTTTAGCTCTGAACTGACAGTCGTGGAAATCATTGCCAGATTTCTGTCATTTAAACTGAAATTGCTGTAAGAAAATCCTACACTTCTTTTTACCTGTACTATTGTTGATATGTGCTTTTCAATTATTTACTTCTTGTTTATCCAAATTTTTATTTTTTCTTTCTTTCTTTGTTTTACGTGTGTGTATGTGTGCATGAGTGCGAGTGGTTTGTGGTTATTGTTCACATTGGTGTTGTGGTTACTGTTAACTAAAGGAAAACCAAATAAAGAAATTTCGAAACAAAAAAAGAAAAGGGAAGTCAAGGCAGTAAACGAGAGCTGGAGGGAAGTAGTTCAGATGAAGAAAGGATAGTTAGGAGGAAAGTTGTGAGGGAGGAATTTCAAATAATATTAAAACTGAATAAAAATCAAGAACAGGATAACATCAGCCCCATTGTGGTGTCAAGAGAAATAAAAAAGAAAAATTGGAGAAGTAGAAATGGTAAAGATTCTGAGAGATGGAAACCTATTGGTAGTTTGTAAAAATAAAGAGCAAATGCATAAGGCTTTAAACGTGGTTGGTGTTGGAGAAAAAATCATTGCAATTTGCAAAGGGAAGCACAGATGCCCAAAATGTGGTGAAGATCACAAGTTTAAGAATGTAAAACAGTACAAGAAAAATTTTGTAACTGTGGAGGGCAACATAGAGTTACATATGGAGGATGTGAAGTAAGAAAGAAGGCATAAGAAATCATACAGATTAAAATGACTAAAAACATAAGCTATGCAGAAGCAGTTAAAAATGTGAAGGAACAGAAAACAAGAGAGAGTGAACAAATGCGGTGAAAAGTTTTTGGGGTTTAAAGAGGAATCATGGGAGAACATAAACAAAAAGCTGGAGGTAGATGGGAGACCAGGACCATCAGGTAATATATGTTAATGGAATGCAAGAAGTTTAATAGCTAATGGACAGGAACTTAAAGGTTATATTGACAGTCTTGAAGAACAACCAGAAATCATTTGTGTTCAGGAAACATGGTTAAAAACAACTTTAGATTTTGTGATGAAAGGATATAATTCTGTAAGAAGAGATTGACAGGAGGGAGGTGGAGGAGGATGTGCAATAATTGTAAAGCAAGGGATACAATATCAGGTATTAGGGAAAGCGAGAGAACTTGAATACATAGTAAGTGAGATTTGGGAACAAGAATGTAAAGAGGGCTGTGGGAAGAAGAGCGGCCATTTTGTTTTCTGTTTCTGTGTTATATTGCTGGTAACTGGAGGGAGGCTGAGGCCCAGAGTATGTTGTTAATGTTTAGTTTCTTCTGCACCCTGTTTTGAGTTTTTGAGCACAATAAACCACCAACACCAGTAACCCGACTGAGCCTGGAATTCTTGGAGGCCAAAGAAGCCCGTCACACCACTATTACTACTTATTCAACCAGTAAGAGCAAATTCTCAAAGACTTGATGGAATCTGTTTAGTTTCCTAAGATAGAAAACTTTTTTGACCAGTTTGAATAATAAACTGAGCTTACTGCATCCCTTGATAAATAGGACATGTTTAGAACATTTTTCTAACTCTTCATTTGATTAGGATCATCACATCACCACTTTCTTGCTTGTAATCCAAAGCTCTACATTGGGTAGCACATTCAACAGAACAGTGAGAGGCTCCTACTCAGGCAGCAGAATTCATGAGAATTAGTTAGAAATATATCAATCAAGCAGAAATAAGAAGTGCGCACAATCTTGATGCTGTAGATTTGCGGAACCATAAATTTTAAACTGGCCTAAACGTCTTTATTTTTATTGATTTTAGAAATGTTTTCTTTTCCTTGTATTTTGTTGAAGGTTTCAGGAGTTTTTTTGTGTTTACAGGACATGTTTCCACATTTCAGCAAGGCTTTGGTGAAAACACTGGGCTCCAGCAGTGACCTAATCAGTAACAGAGATCTAAACAGAAACTGGGAGTTGATGACCCTTGTGAAGGTTAAAAAGAAGGACCATTTGACTTTCTTAAACAACTGGAAAAGGTACAAGCCGTTGGACCTGAAACTGAGGAACATTGTTAAAGAAGACCTCTTTCTGGGTTTGTAAAACACACACATTCTCATCTTGCTAAATGCAGTAAGGAACAAGTGTTGACTCCCACTGACTTCCATTGATTTTGGTCATTTTCAACCCTTCCTATGTTCTAACCCTGAAAATAACTCTAAACCTAACCACTACCACTGCATACTGGACCCAATATCACACCTTACACCTAAACCCAACCCCTTGCAAAATAGCTTGTGATAACCAGGAAAATTACTTCATTTTGCAACAACCAGACCTCACATTCCTGGAAAAACAAGAAAAATGTTTCTCACACGGATGGCCAAACAGGAACACACATGTAGAGGTGGGAAGAGTACCCAGTTCTTTACTCAAGAAAGAGATTAAAGTAGCCATCCAAGAAATTACTTTAGTGAGGATAAAAACTTACTGAGGTACTGAGTTTTTGGCTACGGAAGCCGAGAAGGGGCGTACTTGACTTATTTGTTTTGTTGCTTTGCCTTCTCAAGATAACAAGATAATTATCTTGTTATAATGAGAAAACAGTTATTGATTTCTTGACATAACGAGATGATTAATCTGTATGAGTAATGAATGAGGCTGGCTAACAGCCCTGGATTCCCAGTCCATCCATGCCTGCGGTGCCTGTAGTTGTGCAGTCGCAGTACAGCTTGTGCGCAAATAATCAGTTTTTTAGTTTTCCTTTTCTTTTCACTTATTGTCATGTCATGGTGGATGATTGGATTGCATGGAATACAGAGAAACAAATCTGACTAATGCATCTTATACCTGTTACAGGTGTAACAACGGTCTGTTCAGAAAACACACGGCACTAAGACGATGCAGGCATACGTCTAATTAGCTTATGAATCAGAGCTGGAGGCAAATCATCAAACCAACAACTATGTCTCGTTACCAAAAAGCTAGTCTCCTATGACTAACGCTTATAAATCCTCTCCCGCTAATGTGGTATTGAAAGATTTAATGAGTTTTAACACACACCAATTATCTCGTTATGACGAGAAAACAGCTTTCGTTATTTTTTTATAATGAGAAAATTAAAGTACCGAAGGGACATGACCACTCTCGGCTTCTGTAGTTGGCTTATCAAACCTAATTTATATTTAAATATTATGTAATTAGACAGAAATATATACGCTAATTCCTGTGTTTTAGACTAAATAGAGAAAAAACTTCATTTTGTAAAGTGTAAAGTAAAGTGTAGAATGCTGTAAAACTACCCCCAAGTAATTTTTTTCAAAAAGTTGCTTAAGAAAATGTAACGGAGTACACGTAAATAAAATTTCTTCCATTGTTCCATTATTTTGTACATTTGAGTATAATGGTTCTTACAGAAGTAATGGCTTTGGTTTTGGTATTTAGAAAAGTGTCATGATTTTACAAAGTTTGGGCCCAAATGCAGAAAACCAAAACAGAGAGAGACCAGGGAAAAGGTTTAATTGAAGAGGTTAAACAGAGGGAGAAGTGTTGCTCTTAACACTGCTCAACCAGAACTGTAAAGTGAGGGAAGACACAGCGGTTAGTTCAGGCTCAGTGGGGAATTTGACTCGTGAACTTGGAGAAGAGGATTTGGTTGCCTACTCACGTTTCCAGAGAAGTTGTTAAATCCTTGACTCCTGTCTATGTGCTGTAGTTTCAGTGTTTGTCTGATTTGGTGGAGGGCGGAACAGGGTTTCCCCAGAATGCGGTTGTTAGTTGGGGAACGGAGAAGCCGACTGCCACTCAGATTTCCTGCGGTACTTGAACGGGTCGTAGTGGAGAATAATCCCTTTCTCAGTGCGAAGCACAAATGATCTCTTGGGGAAAGTGGATCCAAACCTCATGTTTGAACCCCAGCTCAGTTTGAAGCTCAGTTGATCCTTCCAGGGAGAGAAGGTCTGAGAAAACCAGTTTGCAGGATGACTTCCTGCCGAGAGGCAAAGACAAAAACAAAGTTAAACTCAGGTTGCCAAAAACTCAGTTTGACTCAACAGAACTCAGCTTGGCTAGAGTACCCAAAACTGGCTAACACTCTGGCGTCGAGGTAGTGGCAGTCAGCAGCTTAAGAACACTCTGTTTAACGAGGAAACCATCAGCAGGTGTGTGAGGAGGCGGACTAGAACCAGGCGCCTCCTGGTGGATGAAGGGAGACAAACACAGAAACACAAACACAAAGACAGGAGTCCTGACAAAAAGAAACAAACTTTTAGGAGTTTTTTCACAGAATTGCATTCTAGAGTGTCACCTTCTGACCATACTAAACTTATATTGAACTTATTTGATCTCTCTCTGTATAGAGCCAGAAATTGAGCCCTTGGTGAAGGATTACAAAAACTGTAGCGAGGTAGATGGCAGTGTCGAAGTAGGAGGAGGCGATGATAAATTTGAAGGTAAACTGAAGGGACACCAAGACCGCATTGATTCATCATCCATTGTGAGCTTTGAGAAAGAGCAATTCAGCAGCAAAGACATGGAAAATCTCACCATGACGATCTTGTAAGTATGTCTCAGATGTCCTCATGTGACTGTCTAGGAGGATTTCTTTGCTCACACTTTTAGAAACAAACTTTTTTCTTTGTGTTTTTCTTTTTTCTTTGACAGTGAAGTGGATCCAAATATAGTTCACAAGCTTAAGATGAAAGAAGGAGAAAAACTGGCTTTTGTGAAGCAGAGAATTTACAACACAAATGAGATCCAAGTTTCGACCAAGACCTGCAAAAGCGGGTCCTTTGGATTAAAGCTTCTTCACTTTTTCTCGTTAGGTTTTGAGGTAAGCAGTCATGTGATTATTTCTCAGAGTTGAAGTCACCTTACAGTCAGTCAAGAGATATGATTATAATTACTTTTCTGATTTAAATAGTTTTGTGTTCTGTAAAATGCATTTTGGACTCTGAGCTTCTGTTTAACTCAGCATTAAGACGAAAATATATAGAAAACTGACATAGATTTTAAAAACTGAATTTTATTCAAAGTTATAACACTCGTTATAACTCTGGCCATTTTCAAAGTTATGTCCTCATTGGTACTAAGTAAGTTTCAAAATCTGAAAGTTGTGAGTTCAACCCTTACACGGGGCATTTGTTTTGGTAAGTGGCTGCCTTGTGGTTCGGACATAGAGCTTGGAATCCTGAGGTTCTAAGTTCAAGCCCCACTACCACATACTTCCTCTCTGGCGCCCCACGATGACAGCCGACTGCTCCACAAGGGGATGGGTTAAATGCAGAGGTAAATTTCTCGAATGTGAGATCAATAAAGTTCAAGTATTATTATTATTAACCCAATCTCCATTTGTTGCTCTTGATATGACCCTTCTAGGGGGAAGGCTATTAGCGATCCTAATGCTTAACAAATCCCAAGCACATACAACAACAGTAAATTCCAAAAGGAAGTACTTGGGGTCAGGGCCGGCGATTGCTACAGGCGAGCTAGGCAATTGCCTAGGGCGACAAATGTGTTGGGGGCGCCCTCTAGCGTCGCCCTTAGGCTTACTTCCCATTAATCATAGAATTAGAAAAAAAAAGCGAATTAAACCGGTTATGAAGCGTCCGTCAGTTTGACTTAACCTTACGTATATATAAATAGAAAAATATGAACAAATAAATATACCACCGTTTTTTTATTTATTTTTTCACATTTAAGAGAAAATCGGAAAAGATTCTGATCACTTTCCAAGTGCCCTCCAACCCGGAAGTCGTGACGTCAATCACTGCAGCATGTCCACCAATGTTTTGGAATGAAATTGTAAGCAAACGTACTTGCTTAACTTTGCTCGCGGTCGGGCCCGTCTTAATCATCCACTCAGAGTACCGCTGGTAAGCGCACACAGACTTTGTAGCTTGTCCGGTCAGTTAAAAATAGTAATTGTGAAATCCGTGTTGTAATCGGAAGCATACAAGCTAGTTAGCTTGAAAAGTAAATAGTTTCAGACGTGCTGCGTGATGATGTGTTCAGATTGGCTCAGTAAAACGACAATTAGGTTATCATGATACGTTCAAGTGTAACGTAAAGAAAACGGGAAATTTTGTTTTTGGCGAGAAACATGAGTAATACAGTTGTATATTGCTCTATATATAATTAAACTACTGATGCCAACATTTATTAAAAATTACATTAAATTTAAAATATAATTATTTATTTGTTAAATATTTTCCTAATCACTAAAAACATGATGAAAAGTGACAGTAGACAATACATTAACCAACAATTGTGAAAATATATTCTAGTTAGTTTTATGTCATTTCGAAGTGGCCTATTACATTAGCCATGTTTATTGAAGGCTAGAAACGTTTTTGTTATGCTCACTTGTTAAGCAATAGAAGCAATACCAGTTCTGTTAAAAAAATTTTGTTGCATCGTCTTTCCACCAAATAACAGAAAAGTATCGATAGTGGTATCGATAAAGACTCGGATCGATAAGGAGTATCGATAAAGGTATCGATATCAATAAATATTAACGATCCCCATCCCTAATCTTGACATCATTTTTTTCTCAGTATATATGCAGCAGAATTATGTGCTATATTATTAGCTTGAGAATGGGTAGAAGATACTAATATAAATAAAATATTTTGTAGTGATTATCTGCATTGAGTATTCAAAAGGGATGTACAAATAATCATCAAAATATATGAAGTTATGGCTGTTCATCATAGAATATGTGAACAAAAAAAAAAGCAACAACTTCAAACTTTTAATTTTGTAATGGTATTCATAAAAGCACTTTTGTTTGTAGAGGGTTAATCCTTTCTTTAATCACTAATCAATGTCAGAAATCAGGGTAAATATACCTGATATATTTTATTTAGAGGAAAATTATGTTTATCTCATTTCTATTTATGTTCAAATGATTTAATTGAACTGGAACAGAAAATTTCATTTAATGTTTATCAATTACTTTTTTATGTAGTCCTTGGTTGAAGAATTTCTTAAATTTATTATTTTTTATTGTTATTTGGTAATTTCTGAAATTGATTTATTTAATATTTGTTTAATGTGTGTTAAATTTGTTAATTGTCTGAAATAAATTCATTCATTGATTCAATCCAGGTTTTTAGTTATACTTTACCTAAGTGTCCTTACAGATGGTTAAAAGTGTTTTTGCACAGTCCTAACTTTGAGTGTGTAATAAATTATTTAAAATAATAAAAAAGAAAAGGTACTGAAATCTATTCTGGTATTTGTCTATGCATCACTCCATGCTAAGTTACAGTTTTTTCTGAATGCTTAAACACAACCTTGATTCTTATAGCACAATTTCTAAAACTATTAATACTTATAGGAAATCCACTCACTGAGTTCACAAAACTAAAAGAACAAACACTGCTTTGCACTCAATTTGCAATTTTGTAACACACACTTTGCACAACTGTAGGCACAATTCACCGCACAGCACTCTTTGTGGAACTGTAAACACAACTCAATGAAGCACTAAACAGATGCTGAAAACAGTACTGGTATTTCGCACGGCAAAAGTGAGGGGGGGGGCGCAAAACTCAATCTCGCCTAGGGCAACCAAAGGGCTAGAACCGGCCCTGCTTGGGGTTTCTCCACTGCCATCCTCAATCTCCATAACCATCTTTTTACCTCCCTGCTTCAGCTTACAACAGCTATAAAAACATTAATTCCTCATCGTCCAACTGAACTATGGGTCTGTAGTGGCAATGATTAGAATCAACTGAACTCAATCCATCATTACAGGTTGCTACTCATGCACATAAAATTGTGAATTAATAACACTGAATATAAAAGCACATCAAATATGAAATGGTATATAAAAGTAAATCCTACATGCATAAATTCTTACAAGGTAAAAGAAGTCCCACTTTGAAAGATGGATGCCAAACCCTTTCATCCAGTTGAGATAATGGATCCATCCTCATTGGAATAAGCATTTCCATTGTTTAGTTGGGAGTCGGACTGGTTCCCATGTGGTGAAGAGGTTAACCTTAGATTTATAACTCTAAACCTAGATCCATTCCACCTCCTGGGGGTGAAACCATTGATCCTCTGGGGAAGCTTCTAGCAGGACAGGTTTTGGATGACCAAAAGGTGTCAAGGAGGTGAATTGTGGGTATCCACAGGTCCAGAGTCTCTAAGCCTCCTACGGGGACTACAATGACCAGGTTCAACCCTTACAGTTGATGTGAAACACCCTGGAGATGTTGTTTGTGTGGACAACCACATGCTTGCCCCTGAGAAAGGGTAGGAAGTTCTGCAGGACCCAGTAAATGGTCCGCAGAACGGCACTACCACACAGCCTCCAATCCCAGGGGTGAGGCATATATTGTAACCACCCCATGGGTTTGACATTAAAGGCCTTTTAGTTAGACAGGCCTTTCAGTTAAAAGGTTCAGGATTCCTTGCAGCAAGACCCAAACCTGTGCGGAACTGTATTTTGTAGCCTGTACAGAGTGGCATTTTGTAGAAAAAGGTGGACAAAACCCATGAATCTCAGCAATGGATGTCCCAATAGGTCAGGTGCTTCTGTGAAAATCTGCCACAGTGAAAATTCAAAATCCCTTAGGCCACGTTACTGTGCTTTTACTGGCTCTTAGGTAAACAGTGGCTGTGGCTCCAATAGTTCCACAGGTTATAGCATGTTAAGGCTGGTGCCAGGTCCATGTTGAAGCCAGGTTCTGCTGCCCAGGGTTTGGTTGGGTGGCACCATGAAATAGATGGAAAGGGTCATGTGCAGCGCCCCTCCTTGGTTGTTTGTTTGTTTGTCCAATGCTGCGACCAACCCAACCAACTGGGCTGGACTGCTGTCAGTGCTCAAGAACTCTCTCAGCCTCAGGCCTGATCACCTGGCCATGGAAAAGCAGTAGACTTCTCAGACTTGATATGAAGTCATCTGAAATTGGAGCCTGCACCAGCCACACCTAGCCCCATGTGACCACCAAGGTGGGATAAAGACAACCGGGTCGAGTTGACATCAGCCCATAGGCCTGGAGAGCTGCATTGTTAGTATCTATGAATGATGCTCCAGCTATCTCTGAATGCAGCATCTATCACCAAGCAAGCAGCTACTCACTGCTGTCTGACAAGAAAAACCATACAAGTCACCTTATAGTGGATGCTCAGTCAACGAGCCTTCTATTTCAAGACCTGGGGAAGCATTTGCTAACGACGTAGATTTGACATGTTTTGTAATTTAGCACTGTTGATATGACATTTATTTGTTTGCCTTTTCCGTTTTGAATTCTGATGATTTAGGGAAGCACAAGTGGCCAGACAGACTTCAATGTGCCAGAAAAGAAAGTTGTTGCTTTTTCTCTGAAAGAGATAAACATATGGGGCAACAAACTAGGTGAGACCACGTCAAATAATCTTTGTTTCTACACCTAACCTGAAATTTATCCATCTGTCCATCATTCAAAAATGTAAAATTGCTGGTAAAATGTCTCATCATCCTTTCTACCTTTTGTTTTGCCTTTTTAGACCTTTCTCCTGAAATTTCATTGAGGAAAATGGGTATGTACTGTATGCATTTTTATTTTTTTGGTTTATTTATTCTTTGAAATTTTGATTTGTGAGTTTCTTATCAAACCAATTTATAGGGAGAATAAGACCAGACAGTGAGCTTTTCCCAGCAGTGATGAAAGGTTAGTATTTTAATCCAGTGAAAGAGTTTTCCTTCTATGTTATTTTGCAAAAAATATTGTCCAACAGTACCTGGATTTTGCTAGATTTATTAATTAGTGGGTAAAGCTAATAGAAATTGTATTCATTAAAACGATTTTCAGCTATTGGTTTCAGTCATTGACTGTAATTCAAGGGACCAGGACTCCAACCCCGGTTTTGTCAGGAAGGGCATCAGGTCTAAAGTGTATGTGCCGACTACTGATTATGCAAACATCTAAAAAGGACACAAAACAGTTTTTATCGGGCAAATATTCTCCCACGCATGCAAACAGCTCTAAAAGCCTTCTGTTCACCATGACATGCAATTCATCCTCCAGCCAAACACAGAGCACAACTTTTATAATAATCCAAATACACAAATTCGCTTACATATCTGCTTTTAGCCAGCTGTCAGAGAATTAGGTTCTGACGGTCTGTCTAATGAGTACCTGTCTAGATATGCCCACAGCTGAAAGGAATAAACCTGCCATTACCTTTAGCTGCCTGAAAAACTGCTACATTGTTCTGGACCTAATGTTTGACAATTTTTCTCCCTGAGTGTCTGACTACTGTACTGTGATTGGACAGAATTTAAATGGCCATGATGAGATTGTAAAAGCAGAGGTGCCTCACGTATCAGTCCTAATGTAGTGTTAAGTTGCTGTTTTATTCTGGTTTAAACAATCAAACATTACACTTTTTTTCTTGTGGGAAAGTCCTCCTCTCATAGAATGGCAATCCCTGTGTGTCTGTATTGGTTTAATTCCTATATTGTGGTATGCTCTGGTTATATTTAAGTTCTTTGGTTTTTCTTGCTTGCCCTCTGTTGCCCTCTTGTGTTGGTCTCCTTTTCCCTAGCTCCTTCTAGAAGCCTCTGGTCACACCTGCTCCCAATCGTTTTTGTCCAGTCTCCCAAATAAACTCTCCCTGTGCAGTTCCTCAGTGCTGGTTGCTTGTTTTTTCCTGGCTCCTTATGTTTGTTTTCCCTGATGTCTCCAAGGTTCAGGTTTTTGTGTTTTTTGTTATGTTGGACTTTTGGATTCCTGCCTCTGTTGCCTGTGAGTATTCCTTTAAAACTACAAGAACTCACCTCTGGCTCCTCGCCTCTGCATTTGGGTCCTCAACACCTCAACCAAACCCTGACACTGTGGAGTCTTTTCAAAAACTGCCAGAGCTCACAATGAATTCTTATTTCTTCATCTCTATATCTCTAATTTAGGACGCTGCCTGTTCTGTGCCTTCCTGTCCCTCTGTGGACTCCTACCACGTCTGCTCTTAATCAATTTACACTGAAGTGTTAGTGTTGTATGAGTATGAGTTGGAGTATGAGTAGTTGGAGGCAAAAACATTTTTTTTTCTTTTTTAACCAATTCTTGCACCCTTGAGAACAAGAAAAATATAATGGGTCTGGTCTGCTAACACCCTTTAGCTTAAGCAAATCTTGTTTAGTGTGAGACAAATTCTGTCACAGAATTTAAAGTTTGGTGAAACCACTCATCTGCTACACAAAGTCAGTTCCATTTTTAGCTTTTTAGCAAATCTGCGCCCAGAACTGTAAGCTGAACTGATATTATATCTCCATCACAAGGATGTCTTGAATTGAAACCCTTATGACAAAATTTCCTGTGTTATCTTCCTGTGTTTCCTGCTATGATAAAAGAGAAAGAACGTCGTCTGAAGCCTCTGGCGGGTCGTGGAGACCTCCTGGAGAAACTTCATGGAATTCTGGAGGACAACGAGGCTCTGGTTCTCCTGGAGGATACAGTAAGAAACAATATCACAGTGTTTATCAAAATATAATCAGATGTTATTTTTAACATCTTCCCTCCCATCAGCTGGATCAAGTCATCACTGGGGAGTATCAGCGTCCAGAGAATGAAGTTGTTGCTATGTTTATGGATCTCCTTGATGTTTCCCCTGCTTCTGAAAACCAGACACAAGCTGTTCAACTGCTGATCAGTGCATTGGAGGGTAAAGATCTGCTTATACTGAAGCTTCTATGTAGTACTCCTTTAAGATAATATAATATGATGTAATATAATACTATGGAATAGGCCTGAACTCATGCAATCTACCTGCTCACACTGTATGACTAAAAAGAACGTTGGACTCAGCTCTGCAGTGAGATGCGCTGCTCTGGCTTCTATCCGGAAGCTAAACAAATAGAAGGGGAATATGAAGCTAACTAGAGTGAAACGTGCCGCCTTGGTCATTTGTGCAATTTTGTGCTGAAAGCCCTAAAAAGAAAAGGTGAGGACATATTTGGACAAAGACATGGCTGAACAACCATGGCTACTACAGTCTGTCATTTTACAGAAATAACTCAATTTCACTCATTGCACCCCCGCCATGCTTCTTTGTTTACATCTGAGAGGAAGAACGAAAAGAAGAATACTTGTATTCCCACGACGACCTCACTATTTTTGATCGGGAGGTGGTCGCGAGAGGCTGATCGCCCCTCGTTACCCCCTGTACACAACACGACTCGCGACGCACAATCAGGCAGAAAGTTGGCCCGATCAAAAGATTCTCGCACGACTGGAAAATCTCCCCGAAAATCGCACAGTGTACGCCCGGCTTAAGGCTTCTTCAGGCATCTGTGGGAGCCACTTCTCCAGTTTGGAGGTTATCGCCCCTAGTGCTACAGTTTCCTTCACCTGCCAGACTCTTTTCTGTTCTTCCCTTCCCTGGTTTTTCTCATATTTATCATGTTTTATTTCCTGATGTTTTCATCATTTGGGCTGGCCACGTCGATCCCTACAGCCATCCTCTGCTGCTTAGTAATAATCACAATGTCCAGTCGATTGGCCACATCCATTTTGTTTGTTTGTATCTGGAAGTCCCACAGCATACTAGCTGTGTCATTCTCCACCACCTTTGGAGGTTTCATCAAGCTTCAAATATATATGGGAGTTGTGGTGAATTTATTCCATATACAGGTGCTGGTCATAAAATTAGAATATCATGAAAAAGTAGATTGATTTCAGTAATTCCATTTAAAAAGTGAAACTTGTATATTATATTCATACATTACATACAAACTCATATATTTCAGATGTTTATTTTGTTTAATTTTGATGATTACAAATGAAAACAAATGAAAATCTCAAATTCATCATATCAGAAAATTAGAATATTGTGAAAAGGTTCAAAATTGATGGCCCCTGGTGCCACACTCTAATCAGCTAATTAACTCAAACCACCTGCAAAAGCCTTTAAATGGTCTTTCAGTCTAGTTCTATAGGCTACACAATCATGGGGAAGACTGCTGACTTGACAGTTGTCCAAAAGACGACCATCGACACCTTGCACAAGGAGGGCAAGACACAAAAGGTCATCGCTAAAGAGGCTGGCTGTTCACAGAGCTCAGTGTCCAAGCACATTAATAGAGAGGCGAAGGGAAGGAAAAGATGTGGTCGAAAAAAGTGTACAAGCAAGAGAGATAACCGCACCCTGGAGAGGATTGTGAAACAAAACCCATTCAAAAATGTGGGGGAGATTCACAAAGAGTGGACTGCAGCTGGAGTGAGTGCTTCAAGAACCACCACACACAGACGTATGAAAGACATGGGTTTCTGCTGTCGCATTCCTTGTGTCAAGCCACTCTTGAACCACAGACAGCGTCAGAAGCGTCTTGCCTGGGCTAAAGAGAAACAGGGCTGGACTGCTGGTGAGTGGTCCAAAGTCATGTTCTCTGATGAAAGTAAATTTTGCATTTCCTTTGGAAATCAAGGTCCCAGAGTCTGGAGGAAAAGAAGAGAGGCACTTCATCCACGTTGCTTGAAGTCCAGTGTAAAGTTTCCACAGTCAGTGATGGTTTGGGGTGCCATGTCATCTGCTGGTGTTGGTCCATTGTGTTTTCTGAGGTCCAGGGTCAACACAGCCACATACCAGGAAGTTTTAGAGCACTTCATGCTTCCTGCAGCTGACCAACTTTTTGGAGATGCAGATTTCATTTTCCAACAGGACTTGGCACCTGCACACAGTGCCAAAGCTACCAGTACCTGGTTGAAGGACCATGGTATCCCTGTTCTTAATTGGCCAGCAAACTCTCCTGACCTTAACCCCATAGAAAATCTATGGGGTATTGTGAAGAAGAAGATGCAATACACCAGACCCAACAATTCAGAAGAGCTAAAAGCCACTATTAGAGCAACCTGGGCTATCATAACACCTGAGCAGTGCCACAGACTGATCGACTCCATGCCACGCCGCATTGCTGCAGTAATACAGGCCAAAGGAGGCCCAACTAAATACTGAGTGCTGTACATGCTCATACTTTTCATGTTCATACTTTTCAGTTGGCCAACATTTCTATAAATCCTTTGTTTTTATTGGTCTTCAGTAATATTCTAATTTTCTGATATGATGAATTTGAGATTTTCATTTGTTGTCATTTGTAATCATCAAAATTAAACAAAATAAACATCTGAAATATATGAGTTTGTATGTAATGTATGAATATAATATACAAGTTTCACTTTTTAAATGGAATTACTGAAATCAATCTACTTTTTCATGATATTCTAATTTTATGACCAGCACCTGTAAGTGCAGAATTATCTCCCAGGCCTCTGGTTGAGGACCTGAACCGGAATCAAAGAAGTCATCCAACCCAGCCATGAGTATTAGGGGTGGGTGATTTTTGTTTTCTTTTTAAAATGTATTCCACATGGAGAGGACATTATTGGAAGAGGCATTTGTCAAAGGGAACGTGGCATTAGGAATATATTGTCAGGGATGAAGAGCCTCTCATGCTTAAAGCAAGGAGGTTTTTGCATCAGGCTACTGGTGTCATGATTTTATCTAAAGGTCAGACCCAAAATGCAGAAGACCAAACAGAGAGACCAGGGGAAAGTTTAACAGGTTTATTAAGAATGTAGAGATGAGTCAGTGCTGCTCTGAACACTGTCAGACCGGAACTGGAAAGTAAGGGGAAGACACTGCGGTTAGTTCAGGTTCAGTGGGAAATTAGATTCTTTGGTTTGAATTGGAGGAATAGGTTGCAGACTCACTTCTCCAAAAAAAGGTGTCCTTTATGGAATCCAGTCCATGTGGAATGTTCCAGAGATAGTCTTGTTTGATCTTGGGCGGACAGGGTTACTCAGACTGCGGTTGTTCCTTGGTGAATGGAGAAACTGACTGCCACTCAGATTTCCTGCGGTACTTGTGTTGGGTTTTAATCCAGAGAAATGTGAGTTTAAAAGATTAAGAGGACGAAAATGATCAAACACAGACA